CTGACTGTATGAGCTTTGTGGGTCTGCTCCCCACAACAGTCTCACAGTGCACAAGGCTGCTGGGCACCATGGCTTACCCTATACTGCACTGATGGAGGGTCTGTAAGATAGATAGAAAACTGGCTGGAGCACTGGAGTTAGAGAGTAGTAATCAATGGCTCGATGTCTAGCTGGCAGCCAGTATCAAGTGGAGTGCCCCAAGGATCAATACTGGGGCCGGTTTTGTTCACGGCCCCCCACTACAGAAAGAATGCGAACAAATTGGAGAGTCCAGTGGATGGCAACAAAAATGGTGAGGGGGCTGGGGAACATAACTTATGAGAAGAGGCTGAGGGAACTGGGGTTATTAGGCATTTATACACAAATCTTGTCATCCGACAATGCGCCAGAGATCTGCCACTTTTGAGCAGACTCAATTGTGCTGCACTGTGTGCAGTTCTAAAAGTGGTGAAATGCTCATCAGCACGCAGAAAATGGTGGCAGTGCGCTTTTGAACTAAAGAACCTTCTATGTGTTTTAGTTCAAAAGCACACTGGCACCATTTTCTCAGTGCTGATGTGCGTTTCACTGCATATACAACTGCAAGCAATGCAGCACCAGGTGCTTTCCAAAGTGCCCGGCGCTGGGGTGCTTACATGTGTAAAAATGTCCTTTTAGTTTAGAGAAGAGAAGATGGAGAGGGGGTATAATAGCAGCCTTCAGCTACCTAAAGGGGTGGTTCAAGAGGATGAAGCTAGACTGTTTTCAGTGGTGGCAGATGATAGAACAAGGAGCAACTGTCTGAAGTTACAACAAGGGAAGTTTAGGTTAGATATTAGGAAAAATTTTCTCATTAGGAGGATAGTAGAACATAGGAACAGGTTACCCAGAGAAGTGGTGGAAGCTCCATCCTTGGAGGTTTTAAAGACCTTGATAGACAAAACTTTGGCTGGGATGATCTAGCTGGGGATGGTCCTGCTTTGAGCAAGGGGTTGGACTAGAAGACCTTCCATCCCTAATTTTCTATGATTTTCTATGATACAATGGGATATTGTTTTTAAAATTTGTCATAATTGAAGACGACTAATAATTTCTATATTTTTGCAGGAAAAGTAGTTGGCAAACCTCAAAAAATGTTTCCCTGGAAAATAAAAGTTTTATGATATTATTCTCTGTTTTCCATATTGATTTTACTGCATGATTTTCAAGAAATTAATCTCAAAACATGAGTGTGTTCAAGGGACAACTAAACAAAGAGACATCCTAGAGAAATACATTGTTCCTGTTTTGAGCTGTTGGGGCTTCTTAAACTGATATGAAAATAAAGAAGTGGGATTTGTAATATATATCGTTCTATTATCTATTTTATAGAAAAAACCATTTCTTGATTAAATATACTTTGTGAAAAATGCAGATTGGGTGATACCAAAACATTTCACAAATTCATGTTTGTTTTAGTGAACACTTTTAGTGAACTGTTCAAGTTTATTGAACAGTTCACTAAAACATGAATTTACATATATAAATACATGCACACGCACACACATGCACACATAGATATATGTGTATATGTAGCTTATATATATAACCCCCCACACATGTGTACATATAGATATATGTGTGTGTACACACATACACAATAGTTAAAAATCCTAAATATTCAAAATATTTTATTTTAAAAAATGTAATTGGGATTTAAATGTAAATATTATTTGTTCTGATTTTTATAAGTCTACCAAATTTCAAGATTCATTTCAATGTTATTCTTATATTTTTTTTAATGCTTAACCTTTTTTTTTTTTTAATAGTGTTTTTCAGGTGAAATGAAATATCTCATAGGGTCCAAACCTTTTTTTTTTACTTTTCAATTTGCCAAAAAATTCAGTAAGGTTTTTTCTTGAGGCGACCAAACATATGTATTTATGCAACTGCTAGTGAAGTTAAAACTGAGTTTTAAACATGGTCCTACACAGGCCTGCTAGGAGGGAGCAAAAAGCTTCTTGCAGAAGTGCCCTAACTTACCATGCTTTACTCAAGTTCAGTAAGTTATAGTGGGAGCCAACTGAACATATGTTTGCCATAGCACTACCCAGCCTGGGCTGCTGCAAGAACACAGAGCCTGGAATCCGTCCCCCACAGTCTTTCCTTCTTGTCTCAGCAGTGGTGCACCACAGCTTGGTCAGGGCAGCTGCCAGGGGAGAGACCCAAGACTTCTTCCCCTGCAGCCCCCCTCCCTGGATAGGCACAAACCTAGTATAACTTCTATACCTAACCTTTGTCTTAGTGCTTTGATTTTGTTTTTCTATCACTTTGTTGCTACAACGTGGTTAAATGTGTATATATACAAATATAGTAAAAGTTCTGTTAACCAGCATCTTACAAGCCAGCATGCTCAATTAACTTGCAGGCTGGCTTGTAAGATAAAATGAAACCATAAGTGCCCACCACGGCACTTCTGGTTTCTCTGAGCCCCCATGGCCCAGGGCACAGCAGCCTGTGCTGCTGAACCCCCATGGCCCGTGGGCATAACAGGCTGTGCGGGGCCTGCCTCCCTGTCCTGCAGGGCCTACAGGGGTGGCGATGTGGTGGGAGGGGTGGTGAGGTGGTGGGAGGGGTGGAGGGAGAACCGGCAGCCTGGGCCGCTCAATTAACCGGCATGTTTTGCTATCCTGCATCCCCCTTTAAAAATACACCCTTGAGATGTGTTTTCAAGACTGTTGTTTATGCATGCGGAAAATCCTACATAAAGCCCTATAAAGGAATGATTTTATCCTCTATTTAAATCGCTTCTTTAGCTTCAACACTTCCTTAATGTATATAAAACATTATCAGTTAGTGGTAGTGAGTGAGCTGGTGACCTTTAACAATAATTTGCTCTATCTGTTATGTTTCTGCAGTCTCTTCTCATGGCTAGATTTCTTGTCATCCACAAAACGTATTTTGTCAGGATGTAGACTGAGAGTTCTCTGAGGTAGAGGCTAGTCTATGCTTTGTCACCATTGCATAGCTCTGATCTCTGATTTTTGCTTTTAATAAGATTGCAATACAAATAAGAATTAATGATGATAGAGTGTAAGTAACCTGTGTTCAGGTCATGGCCACTCAAGTCCTACCTCTAGTTTGCTAGTTCAATGTCAGTTCATCTGCTTGCATTATCACTTTAGTTCACAATAGTTTAGTGATTTAAGATTTGGTGGTTTTAGCCTCATTCTAAAACAGATAAGACTAGAATGTAAAGTGAAACATCCCTTTCTTTTGGTTCAAAATTGAACAATATCAGCTTGGAAATTTGCACAAATATTACTAATACTATCAGTTCTATAGTTATGCACTGGAATTCAGTGTCCAAGGCTGTCAATGTGATGCTTCTCTTGGCATGAAAAGCACATACAATTACAATATTTCATCTCCTTCCTCTGTCAGCAGCACACTAAACAAAATACTTTAGAATTACTATAGTTGCTTTTTTGGGGCTTTCAACTCACTGAATATCAGTGGTGCCAGATTTTAATTGCCCTATGTGACCAGACTATAAAATAAAATGTTCCACTTTACTAGTACAGAACTTCTTGGAAAAATGTTGATTATATATTTTTTTCTCCCTATGCTATTCCCATAACTACTTTTAATTCTTCTCCTAAGGGGAAGGCAGGATGGCATACAGAAGAGATATTGCAAATCTGAGTCTCCAGTTACTTCTACTAAGTGCTCTTACTGCTGTAATAGAGCTACTTTGGAAATGTTTCAAAGAAAAGATGTTCATCCCTGCTGTTTCCAGAAAAAACACATTTGTTTTTGTTTTTTTAATTGTTATTCTTTTGTTATGAATAATGGAACACATTCTGATATTAATGTACTTATATGTCATAATGCGGTTAAATGCATTAAATGACATTTCCTATATATTTCTCTAAGATTATAGCAAAAGAAATGAAAAAAATATGTACCATAGCCTAATCTATAGTGCTAGCCTAAATACAGGACAATGACCCAGAAAATAATTCCAAGTTGAATTATTTTCTCATTTCAATGTCTTTTACTCATTGAAGTACTTAGAGTAAAAGACATTGGTTTATAAGGAAGTATAAAATAATTCGGTCTTCACTGCATTAAGGTCAAAGGTTTACCTGAGACTAGATACACATCAAGCTAGGTTGTTTAAGACAAACCCAATTCTGCAGCACACAAGGAAATGATGTAGGTAGCATCATGCCTGGTTCTCTATGACTCACCAGTCCAAAGGGCCAGGGACTCATTTACAGCTGGGTTGACTAAAAGCAGTCTTTGGCATGATTAAGGGGCAAGGCTTGAATTCATGTTTCTTGATCTGCAGGATACCCATGTCAATCCTCTTCACTATGTAGTACCCAACATATTTAATTAAAGTCCCTTTCAATATTGTACCTATTAGCTTCATATTTCAAAATTAGATAGCATGCAATTTATTTTCTTTTCCCTTTGGATAGGTGAAGTTACAACTATTCTTGGTCTGTTGTGATGTTAGTCACATAATACCCCAGTCTTTCACTAAGAATCATGTGTTTGAAACCTGCCAGTATTGAACTAAACAAGGTAAATGCTTAAATGAATTCTGGTTATGGAGATGTCCCATTTCAGCCTTAAAAATAGCATAAAACCAGGGGATTCAAAAAACAGAGAAAAATGGTTGAGGAAACTATGGAGGGGGAAAGGTGAAAGTTCAAAAAGTGAAAAAAGAAATCCTCATGTTGACTTTTTATGCATTTTATATTTCCCTGCAACAGAAGGAAACTTGAAACAAAAATTGTATTACTGAATAAAAATTCGTAAGCACTTGCAATCAAAGGGGTGGGGAAGTTTCAGATGAGTTGGCAATAATATTGAATCCCAAAGACAATCCTTGGACAATATATCAGAAGAGCCTCCTGCTTTAAGGGCCCAATCTGTCAGTTCTATTTAATCATCAAACACAGATGAGAAGAGATCAGGTGTTTCCTATAAATGATTTTGAAAGCATCAGGTAAAGAAACTGTAGTACAGAGGTTTGTTTTCATGGCAGGCTCTGAAGCAGAGAGAGGTAAGCAGCCTGTTTTGGCTAGAGCACTTGTTTTGTTTTGTGTTACTTTGCAAATTATTGTGTTTGAATGAATAAGATGTATACTGAGGGAAGGGCAATTTTGGAGACAGCATTGTTTTTTCTTAGGCTGGTGAAGGAGCTTGAAGTATAGAACTTATATCCATGTAGATCAGTTTCTTTCCCCTCCCCAGCCAGGGTGCCACAAATGTTTGGTACTGTTAAATGTGCAAACATGATTCGCAAGATTAAATGCAGAGACTTCAAACAGGACTCCACAGTGTTAAAAACATTCTGACGTGCCATGCGTCTGAGTTCTTTGCAGGAACAAAAGAATAACTTTATTGTTCTTCTGTAACAAAAAACCCAGTGAAAACCAGGAGCTGGCACTTTCTGAGGGTTGCCTTGAGCTTAAAAATGTTTGGGAGACACTGATGTAAATGTTCAAAAGGGAATGGAAAGGTTGCAACACTGAGCTTTGTACCTGCAGGTGTTGGTTAGGTGTGCTTTGAGACTATCTACCAAATAGAACCCCCACCCATGTGGAATGCTTAGTTTTTTAACTTCTGTGTATACTTATGGACCAATTTGACCTGCCCATCTATGGTTTAGACTTTATTAGCAACGGATTTAAAAACAAATCTACAATTAATGCCCACTTCAGCAGATCATTTGGCAAAGTACATATACACTTTGTTTAACTAGTAATTGTTAAAGTAAATGAATTCTACAACATTTAAGAGAGTCTTTGCTATCATGAAGCTTCAATAACACTTAGCTGATAGAAATTATCATCCCCCGATATGTTTCTCTAGGAATCACTGAGTGTTAGGGACAGAGGACGTACAGTGGCATGGACACCCCCTCTTTTCAGTCAAAAGTGCCATGGGAGCAGCAGCTAGGAACTTTTTTTGGTCCCCACATTGGGTAAAAATACTACTTCCTTTCCTCCTTGCTCAGAAGCACTTCTCCCCTTCCTACCCCTGCCCACCACTGCTGCTCTCCCTGCCCGAGGGGTTGGGGGGAGGCTCCAGAGTCACTCCTGCCCACTCCAGCTGGACTCTGAGGAGAGCTAGGCTCAGCTATGAACAGTATTAAAGGCAAGGGGGTTCCTCCTGGCCTGGACCACCTAGTTGTTCTCTGCCAGTCTGGGAGCAAGTGCAGGGGAAGAGACCCCACCTGATGCCACCACCACTATCACTGCTGTCTCTAGCTGAGCCTGGATCAACATGTAGCCCAGCTGCAGATAGTGGGGACAGCAGCAGCACTGAGAATGTCAGGGAAGGAGGAGAGACATGCCATTGTACATGGAGGGGAAGGCAGAGAAGGTTCTTACCTGATTGATGAACTTAAAAAAGGCTGCTGCTGCTGCTCCTATAGGAGATCTGCCTGTCTTGGTAGGAAGGGTAGGCTGGAGTGGATGTGCAGTCACCCCTGCAGCTCCAGTCCCTGCTCTGACACTCCTTTTCAAAATCCTGGATCCACCCATGCTGACTGTGATGACTTACACACTATTACATCATGGTAGATGATCACGGTGGTCCTTCTGAACTAGCAATTATGTGGGCTATGGAAAAATGGGCTATAGAAAACTTGGCATAGAACATCAACATTTAAAAAGAATTGTACAAGAAAGGAAGTCCTAAAAGTAAAGTTTCTGTTTAATATAAAACTTGACTTAGTCTATATACAATATGTCCAAAGTAGCCTTCCAGTTCAAACCTGTCAAGGACTCCTGACTGTTTTATTTTTTGTTTAAATAATCCTAAACCTGTTCAGTGAAGCTCAAACTAGCTCAGTTAAATCTGAATCCAGACCCCAATGCCTCCTAGGTGGTGTAGATTAAATTATTATCAGTGTAATGCTAACAGTCTTTTTTATTTATTTTTTTTTAACTTGGATTTCAGGATGGGGGCATATTGTAAAATCATCTTTTATGGTAGACTTTAATGGACAATGGGAGTGTCTACACATTGCTGTACGGTGATGTTGCTATGGTGCCATGCTCTAGTACTTCCTTTTGGAAGTACTAAAGCATGGCATAGTGTGGGTAGTTACTGCACCATACACATGGTGCACAGTTAGACTTTGCTGCCACGTCGCCATAATGGCGTGCTATACCAGGGAGCACAATGATACAGAAATGTAGATGCTAATCATGTGTAGATCCATGTGATTGCTACATTGCTGTAGGGTGACGTGTAGCTGCACCCAGCAATTACTTTCCATCTTTCTGCCAGAAATACAAGAAACAAATTGTAAACAGAAAGCTTCATCTCCTTGGGGAAGGGTGAACTTGGGACTGAGTAGGGAAAAACTCATTCCAAGATGTTTCATATTTGTGAAAAACCATAGATAAAAACACTTCACAGAGCTTTTTCCCTAGACCAAAAGCAAAACTAACATTATAAAAGGAAGTTAACAATTTGGGTACTACTAATTATGATATTTCAATTTCTGCTGCCCCTGAAGCCTATGTTAGTATGCATGGTTTTTAAATTTCCAGGGCTGTTATTGAATATGAATTGACTGCAGTGCTGAAGAGTGAATAGGAACACATACTGAGCAAGGTATTGTAGATCCTTCCGAAAGTAATTATAATCCTGCTCTATAGATTTCACATAATATTGCAATTTTCTATCTTTGTTAAAGAAAATTGAGAAATTTTCATTTTGTATGACAGTTTTCCAGGGAGTATTTTCATTGGTTTTAAATGCTTTCCATCTAAACTTCAGAAATTAAAGAAAAGTGTCAGGAGGGGAGTAAGTATGTGAATAACTAGACAAAAATCTTAAGATGAGCAGGAAAAATGGCACATTCATTCTATTTATTACTTTCTGGGCACATTTACATGTGCACTTTACTGTGGAGTAAACTAATTAGCTTTGCAGTAAAGAGTCACTGTCGACAAGGGGTGTGCAAAGTGGGCCCTATTCAATTTGGATTCGACCCAAATTGGGGACAGTGATTCAATTCGTTGATTTGGATCACTGTCCCCGATTTTGATTCGGCCAAATCTGAATCTGAAGATTCAAAGCTGACTTGGAGAATCAGTGACTCGGACACAAGCACAGCTTTAAAAAGTGTGTGTTTTGTTTTGTTTTTTTTCCCTACATACCTTGAGGTAGCAGGCATGGCTTGTGAATGCTGTGATTCTGGGGTGCGGGGGGGGGGTGTCCCTCCACGTTGCTCAGTGGCAAACCTGGAAGTGGACTAGAAGTACTTCCGGTCCTCTTCCAGGGAGCATGCTAGGGGCCCCCCCTGAACCCACCTGGCTTGGCGATCAGTTGCAGGGGTACCCCAGGTGCCTCCCTAGATCCAGGAGGCACCAGTCACTGAGCTGGGGGAGGTGCAGGGGCCCCCATGCATGCTCCTGGTGGAGGAAGTGCTTCTGGCCCACTTCTGGGTTTGCTGCTGAGCACACTGGGGAGTCTCAATTGCTTCTGTGGAACACTGCAAGTGCCCCAGCATTGCAGCACTCATGAGCCCCTGCTACTTAGAGGTATGTAGAAAAAACATTTAAAGCTGCCTCTGTCAAAATCTCTGAATCTATGTGATTCAGAGAGATTAAAGTGTTCTTTGATTTGGATTTGGAGATTTGGCTGACAAATTAGGTCGAATTTCTGCCAAATGTAATTGGGGACAGAAGCCTCGGACAGTCCTACTGTCTACATGTGAGACAGTATTAGGGTACATTAAACTAAACTAATTAGTTTAGTGAAACAGTATTATCTTATGGCAAAGTACTTTTACTGCACCAAAACGTGTGTGTAGATGGAGACCAGGGCCATAAATTGTGACCGGTCAGTCCAGCCAGCCAGGAGCCTACTCTGCCCCAGCTCAAATTGGTACTGTCCCAGCTGCACATGTAGGTGCTGCACCTGACAGCAGTTGACTTCAGTTCAAACTGCCCTGGAGTTGAGTGCCACATTAATTGCACATGTAGATGTACCCACTCATTTTGTATTCATGGAAGTACATGAGAACTTTGCTATGGACTTGAGTGAAAACATGGTTCTGTAGTGTCCGCTTGAATCTGCTTCCATTAGAGTAACAGCTGAGAACTCAAACTCATAAGAGGTCTTTCTCTGCAGCCACACTGAAACACTTCTGCTATTAAAAACTAGGTATTAACTGTATTGACAGTATAACTCCAGTTTGGAGACTAGATATGAATAACTTCCTGCAGGCTTGAGTCTCATAAGGTCATAAATCTGTGATTTTTAGCAGTGGTTATTTTCTGACTGTTGTATGTGATCTTGAAATGCCATGTGGCAGTGGACAGGGGAGAGAGGGAGGGACCTTCAATTTTGGTCTATAGGGATATGATTCTATTTAGCTAGAAAGTAGTACTCCTCCTATTTTGCATAACAGGGCTGCACCTGCATGGAAAAATGATGCATTCAGGTCTCTATTTCATTACCAGAAGACTGAAAAAATGGGAGAGAATTTGGAGGAAAAACCACAAGGATTGTTGAGGAATAGAAATGTATTGACTTACAGTATTCTGTAAAGATCTTTGTTTACCTCCTCTAGAAGTATCAGAGGGCACTGTAGTTAATATAGACAAAAGAGTTCTCTGAGAAAATGACCCATTGTTTCTGGTTGACCCCCCCCTCCCCCACACACGCTCATACAAGATCCCCGGATACTGGGAACAGAACGTGCTACTAGTTTTGCAGGTAGGCAAATCCTGCTCTCCTGATGGATGGACCTGGAAAATATACTGCAGTGAGAACCTCAGAATTAGTCTCCTTCCAATCTATTCCTCCCTCTTTTTTTGAGGGAAGAGGCTACCCAAGTGAAAATGGACATACTGGGAGCTCACATCTGAGAGGTGCACACAGTAATCTAAGAGAATCACTTAGCCTCATACAAGGGAAAATAATGAAACTAGGGCTTCTGGCAAAGGTTCATTTAAAGGCACAATGGGATCTGATCTCCAATCCCCAAATCTCCTGCTATGACAAACATACATCATACCTCTTGCTATAACACATACATGGTAGGGCATGCAATTTGAGGATTGGATCTCAATCACAGCATACTTGCCAGTGTAAGGGAAGCCTAGGATCGTGATCCCTAGTTCCCCCTGTACCAGTGAGAGAAAGTCGGGTGCCTGACAATAAGCTGATTGTCAGCTTGGCCAGGGGACTACACTGGGGTCTGTAACTGACCCAGGTGTGGTCCCCACTGGGCCAGCTATCAGCTGAATATTGGTTGTGTCCAGGGACAGCACGAGGGCCTGGACCAGCCCCAGTCAAGTCCCATTGAGCTGGTAATTGGTTTCAGATCCTGATGTTGTCCCCAGGAACCACCAGCTACGGCTGTTCAGCACATGGGTTTAAAGTACCTGGCAGGGCAAGCCCTTCAAGCTTCTCCTGCTCCCATCCTTTGGCTGAGCCAACAATCAGCTGATTCTTGGTCACCAGCCACATGTTAAATTTAAGGCACCATAAAAATGTTCTATATGTGGAACATCTTTATGGTTCATTCCACCTTTTTATGATGCCTTAAATTCAATGCATATGTATCACCCTTCCTACTTATGCTGTGATTTAACACGTTAATCCCAATACAAAAATAATGTGTAGAGGGAGCCTATGAAAAGGAATATTCAGGCTGAATTGCTTCCTGATGATACAAATAATTAGGCAACTATGTATTAGTAAGTAGTGGATTCTAATTAATCACTCTGTAAATGTGATTTAAATGGAACAAAATCCTAGTAAATATCCAGAGTTGGATGGACTGAATTGTAGGGAACCATACTTTTTAGGAGGCATTAGCAAGAGTCACTTGGAATCAATTGTTGGTTGTGAAGAAACCTGTTCTAAGCTATGTTGATCAGGAAGAACTCAAGCACAGAATGAAACAGACTCCCTGGCTCTGAGTCGCTTCTGAACAATGCACAGATAACTTAAAGGATCTTCCATATCTAAATTGGAAACTTTGACTTCTTAGTTCTTTTCTCTTGTCTTAATCTCTGAACTTGTGTAACAGTCACTGGCAATTCCTCATGGGGTATAAGGAGTGGAAAGCAGATACTGCTTTACTTTTTTCTGTGCATGTTGTACACAATTCCCTGACTGCCTGCTGGAGGGGCAACTGCCATTTAGTGAATCACCTAAGATGCAGATTTTTGTAGAGTTGAGGCATTCTGTGCATATTCTTTCTGTCTCAGGGAGACCTGGAGTGAGAAACTTGTTCTTAGTCTAGTTTCTTTACACCAGGTAAAATGTCAAGAATTGTATAAACAGATTTTGTGTCTCCTGAACTGAGCCACAGGAGAATTTCTCACGCCAGCGCTAAGATAAAAACATAAGGCTACTTCCTCAGAAGTCTTAGTATAGGGAACAAACCAGAATGAAACTACTGTGCAGACTAGGTAGTATTGCAGGGCACAAGGCACCCTAAGGAAGATGTTCTGATTTAGGCCATGTATAGACATTCACTTTCTCCTGGAAGTCTCTGCTGTCCCAGGAAAAAAACACAAGTGTACAGATATTCAGGATTTTTCTGCCAGAGTGAAAATGGCTACTTAAGGAGAAAAATTAACTTGGGAACAACCAGGGTTAAATTACAGCAGCGGGGGCAGCAGCAGCTGATCCCCCTAAGGTAACTGGGCAGAGGGACCGGACACAGCTGAGCCAGATCTGGAGGGGAAGGCCCCTGGATCCCTATTAGCTGAGCCAGTAGGGAGCTGAGCTCCCAAGCCGCGCCATGTGAACAGAGTGTGCAAACAAGGGGAAGGCTAGGGGGGACTGTCCCCCCCCCCCAACCTAGGGAGCACCCCTGGGGTTAACCCTCAGGGGGCAGGCTCTGGAGGCACCGGATCCCTGCAGCGGGGGAGCGTGGACTGCTGGCAGGCACTTCTGGGAAGACCAGAGTGCCTGATTGGCTGATTGGGGCAGCAGTGGGAAATTCAAACTGCGACCTTTAGAAGCTGTGGTTTGATGGAGCCCCTGGTACTTGGGAGCCAGAAGCAGCGGGGTGGGGAGGGATCCAGGCACACGTGTGTCCCACACACGTGTGGGACCTGAGGCAGAGGTGGGTGCAGCAGCAGCGGGGGCAGCAGCAGCTGATCCCCCTAAGGTAAGTGGGCAGAGGGACCGGATGCAGCTGAGCCAGATCCGGAGGGGAAGCCCCCCGGATCCCTCTTAGCTGAGCCAGTAGGGAGCTGTGCTTCTGAGCTGCGCCATGCGAACAGCGCGCAAACAGGCGCTCTCTGTAAGTGCATCAGCATTCGCACTGGCAGGCGAGCAGGAGGGAGACTCCTACTAGGGCAGGGTGAAGGCACCGCACTAAGCTAAAAACAAGCAGCAACTCCTATGATGGTGTTGATGCAGAGTGCTGCCAGGGCTCCTGCCCAGGGGGAGCAGCTTGCCCGGGGCTTGTCTGAGGCCTCCACCCAGACAAAGCCCATGGGGGAGCTGGTGTCCCCCCATCCCCTGGCCTGTGGGGGTTGCCCAGCAAGGCCCAGGGGGGGCAGGGATTGGAGACCCCCACACCTGTCCTGCAGGCACCTGCCTTAGAGCCCTGGAGGCACATGTGAGGGAACTCGAGGAGG